TCATGAGGTGTATGTCCGACTGGAACTTCATCTCTAAAACGAAGAGCCAGGCCCAGTGGAAATTCCGCAAGCCGATGCGAGTGCAATCTCTCATCGAAAAAATTCGCATATGTGCTGATCGGTGTTACGAACTGAGTACTGAAACTTATGCTTCTCTGCACTGCTATCACAGTCGAGGTAGACTTTGGCCAACTGACATTAACGAACTCGCTACCTTCTCAGCTGTCCGCGGCAAACACACAAAGTGACCCAGGAAATCAGTGGTTGCCCGAATTGCGCTACATAATCTTTTGTTAGTGCAATAATAGGTAAAGAGCTACTTGATAACTTTGTCAACTTTCGAGAAATTCTAGGATTTTATCGTATCATTACATCAGCGAGCTGAGAACTATGTTTTTTGTGACCGCTATAATGGTAGTCAATTGGAAGCCCAGCAGGTGAAGGAATACTACGAAGCCATTGAGACCATCTATCGTCTTCGTTGCGAGCGACAACGAACCAAGGAAGAAACTGTATCTTACGATTTAGGTAAATTTGCATTAATATCTCATTAATGGTTTGGTCTTTGGAACTAAGTTTCATTTTTTCTTGGATATATACTTAACGCTCACACGAAATGTATGCCTAACTTATACCATATGTAAGCTGCGATAATTAAGCTTGTTTCTTCCAATATTTTCCTATTCTGATCAGTTCACCTGTGTTACCTATCGGCACATTGATTGTCGAGTGATTCGAACGAGCACAATTAAATCTTTCATTTCCCCCTGCCGCGTACAAGACCCATCCCAGTGGGATCTACTTGCTCTAACAAACGATTGAGCATCGTATCCTCCTGGGATTCCCGTGAATAGCTGTGATGATCGCGTCGGTGGTCTTCCTGCCGCGCGTTTGACATCCCGACAAATCAGTCACTAACGGGTCTTGTCCATAGGTTCGTACGTATTACTAGGCCGGCACATCTTATTTTCTTGAGTGTGGCACATAGAATGGAGTCTTTGATTTTTGGTCGTTGAAGTAAGCCGGAACTTCGGACCGTTTCCCTCACTTGCGTGATACGAAATACTCCCAGCATCGTTCTTTCGACTGCGCATTCTATAAAACTGAGGGTTTTTCATCCTGCTTACATAGCGACCAGGTCCAAGTTTCCGGCGGACATATTAAGGCAAGAAGAATCGTGAAGTCTTTGAGTGTTAATGAAATGTAGGTAACTAATCCCTTTTTCATAAACATCTTTGTTGTGAGATTTAGTCGACGACCAATTTTTTTCACTGGCTTTATCAAAGTCGGCAAGCATTCGTTCTGCATGGCTAATGCTTAGTATTATAAAAGCGATGTCATCAGCAAGGCTAAGATAGTGTAATAGACGGCCACCAACTTTCACTCCATGTTGTCTAATCCAATATTTTCATGGGGTACTCGAGAATGGAGGTAAATATTTTCGGCGCGGATGATATCGCCTTGTCTAAACCCTCTTTTGACGTCGATGTTAATATCGTTGTATAATGGTGATATCTTGGCTGTGAATTTTTTACACAGCTCACCAAGAATCTTCGCATGCTGACCAGGGACTACCTGTTTGGTCAGAGCACCAATGATTGCTTTTATCTCATTTTAGTCAAAAACCTTATTTAAATCGATGAAAGTGGGAGAAGCATTGTCTTGTATCATCACCATACTTCGATGAGTCTTGTTATAGTGCGGACTTGGTCCATCTTAGCGAGTCTTTTTTGAAACTCTCCTTGCTCACACGGGTGTCCTTCGTCCAGTGTTCTGTTAGTTTTCTTTGGGATGACTTGAGTGAAGAGATTTTATACAACAGATTGCAAGCAGATAGGGCGTTTGTTGCATATATTGCAGGATCATCCTCTTGGATTTATATCGCGGTATTGCTAGTATTTTATTGAACAGGAATTTTGCCTTTTGTCGGAGGGCGTGTAAACAGCCGGGCCATTGTGTTTATGAGGACTAGCAGAAGGTTCTTAAAGTGCTCAGATCTTGTCCTCTCCGAACCCGGTATTGTTTGATTCTTCACCGACGAAATAACATGTCGGATTTCGGAAGGGAGAACCGGTGGTACGAAATACCTGTCCTCCTTTATTTTACATGAGTGGAGGAAAACGTTACTATTAAAGGGATATGAATAGTAATCGGAAATGATTTTCTCCACTGACATTTTGGATGCTATAAGTTTTCCATCTGGGCATCGGAGTGCAATCATCTCGGTTTTTTAATTGGTGAAGCTTCAGTGGGCTTTGCAAATGCTCTTTCCAGCCTCTGCAGCTTCGACCACAGCAGCTTCTATTCTCTCTTCAAGATTTCCTTTTAACGCCTGTCTGCATTGTTTTGCATCTTATGATATAAGCTGGCGATTGTCTTTAGCTTGCGCAATTTCACGCTAGCATATGATCTCGAGTGTTTCTGATGATAGACGTTTATTGGCGACCTTCTAGCTTTCAGACTCCATGGCGCTAACGTCGGAATGGTGAAGAAGATGATGGAATTCTCCGCCGATGTTATCGAGAACCTTATCCTTTCGTTAACCAACTAATGGACTGAATAAATTCCAGTTAGTGGTGGTTTTGGGAAGCCGTTTGTTAAACTTAGTCTCTCTTTCTCCTTTCCACAAGAAATAACATCCTGCACGAAGGAGATGCTGGTCTGATCCCGTGTAGTATTTTTGAACAACAGTGACACCGTTTAGGAGAAATTTTTGATTTATTGTGACGTGGTCTACTTCGGTATGGTACTCTCCATTGGGAGACTCCCACTTCCAGCATTGAGAGTGGGGCTTCTGAAATTGAAAGTTATTGTGAATGGTCTTGGTCGTCTTGCAAAATTCGGACACCCGTGCAAACTGCTTATTCCATTCCAATCCGTCGGTTCCATTATGACGTTGTTCAGAGTCCCCCTAGGTCTAGTATTAGCTTTAAAATCTCCAATGGTGAACTTAACGAATGTATAATCTTTTCTGTAGAACTTTTTCAAGTCTATACAGTCTACACCATATACAACGATTTGGCGCCGCCTTCTTTATGGCTTGATATCGCATCATGAACGACGAAGACTGTTTAAGACGTTATTGATCTATATCGCATTATTCGTAAACGTCTGATTTGCGTTCCTAGTTTTTCGAATGCTTGGTCGAGCTGATGTTGACGAGGACACCAACGCCTCCAACGGCTCTATTGTCGCATGTTCCGAGGAACGGTTCTTCGGTGTCATAGACGGCTCTGAATAAACGACGTATTCTTGTTTTGGACAATCTGATCACGTTTTACCTCATTCTTCTTTTATGCTTAAGTACTCCATCGAGGAGTCAGGCGCAAGTGAGGCGCATTGTAAGTAGAGATCGTCACCTTAGTTTTTCAAAATTTAGGTAACCTAGAATAACCCTGACACTTCAGTAGCCACTCCGTACTCGTTCTACCCAACCCTTCCGTATCGCGGGCGCTTTCGGAGGCAGGGAATGAGGCCCACTTATTTTAGTGCGTTTGCCGCTTGAAATTCACGTATTGCTTGCTTAGCACTGAGCATGGCTGCTAAGTTCACGAGTGGCTTGCGAATCTTTCCCAGAAGAGGCGGTAAGTTTATTTCTTCGAAAAAATTTCTAACCGCTTCCCCATATGCTTTCCTCTCACTTGATCCCAGGCTTTTGGCTGAATTGGCTTGTAGAATACAATCTGCATAAACTAGGACGCGCCAACACATTCGTGCATGAATACGTCTTCGTAAACAAAGAAAGTATGTTCCAAAATAGGCGCAGCAGAATCAGGCACTTCATACTCTCGATCCATTCCAATCCGTCGGCTCCATTATAATGTTGTAACTTGCATCTCAGGGAGGTATAAGGTAGCTTTTGCTTCGTGACTAACCCCTATCCGCGACGGGTGAGGCGCCACCTTGCCTCGCTACTAACCGGCATAAGATTCCTTCTCCTTTTATTAATAACTAATATGTATTTGTTTTTTTCAACGCCCTCTTCTATCTTTTTTTCCTTCCTCCTGTACCCTCTTTCTTATCACAAAGAAATGCTAACTCTCTCAGCTTTCGTTATACCCACTTCTTAAGGTGAAAGCATTTTCGGCCAGTAGCAAAGATGAGTGGTTCTAAAAAAATTAGTTAGCGAGCAAATGAAAAGACCGTTTATCTTAAAGTGTAACTTGCGAAGGTGAAGTCTACAATATGTTCCATTATTTTTTTTGCCACTTTATCTATTAACATTTTCAACTCTTTTTTGATGCTTATTTATACTAATTATTACTGTACTGATATATTTCATAACAGAAGCGCAACGAACAAAGCTTTTTGGAGTTGACCACTAACTAAGGGGTACGCCACTTGCTAAGGAGATGGATCCATTTCTGAGCTATTTCGGTGGCTTATTGACTATCAACTAAACTTTGTACAAGTTTCCTAGTTTCAGAAGGTGGGAAGGTCTAGTCAACCCGTGGTTTAAGATCAAACGGGCTACCAAACCAGCTTGTAGTGCAAAGGACCGTTTATCACTATACTCCTCGCACCTGATTGTATGATAACATACTTATACATTATTTACTTACTTGATGCTTAAACGGCCCGTCCTCACTAGATGTGCGGTTTCTAGCATAAACACTATTTTTCGGAGGATTTGCTGGTTAAGCCATTGTGGTTCCCTGGAATCCCGAGGACAGCCTGGCCAAAGTCTGCCCCAGGTCATCACCACGACAGGCAGTCGCAGCACTTGTGGATCAGAGGGAGATTTACTACCATGCAACCTTCATACCAAGACAGTGGTGGATCCTGGTTTTGGTTTACTCTTAGCTAGGCTTCGTGATGGATACGCAGGACTCCTTCTCTGCTTGGGAGACTCTGCCGGGGGAACGGGGCTTACAGATTACCAAAGAAAAAATTAATAACGTCACAATGTGGTAGGAAATCAGTTTCGCTGAATGAAAAAACAATCGTCATCACAATTGTGTTGAAAAGCGTCACAAAAATGTCTAGTTAAAACGAAGTCGATGAGAGGAACATCTCTTCGTTTTTCAGAAGATCCTGCAACACTAAACCTGGCTAAGGAGAGTTTAGCCGAGGACGTTGCTATTATTGCTCCTTCTTTTGGTATTCCAATGTCTAAAGATGATCTGTATCGTATTTACGACGAAGCACTTGCTAAATACAAAACTTTGGTGCTGAAGAAACAGAAAGTATACGAAGAGGAGATGTTGGACGAGCTTTCAAGACTTGAGAGCACCGATATTTTGCAAAAAGAAATAAAAACTGTGAAGGAACATGACTTGCCTAGCGGAAAAATAGCAGGGCACTTCTCTCATTCGGCAATGATTGAGACCGAATTGGAACAGGCTATCAAAAGTCTGAAAAAGTTAACGTCAAATAGAAGCCATTCTTTTGAGTCAGCTCAACTCAAGGTCAATGAAATAGTCGAGGAAAAACGATTTAAGGAGGATTCCGTGCTAACAAACTCTACTCATAGCTTTGAACGAAGAGCTACTGTTAGCTGTTTTCTTCCACAAGTGGAAATTGCCGACAAGCATCAGAAAACTTTGAGATCGTTTGATTTCAGAGAAGAATTCAAACGGAGATTTCGCAGTAAGAAGATATGGGAGCTCACAGTAATGAAACTTCCAGTGATTGGAAGGCCACGGCAAAGTGATGTTGTGCAGAGTTATCGCCGGAAAGGTTTATTTGATAACGTCGAATATCGGAAACCCATCTTAATGCATGAAATTTCATTGCACAACGTTGACAGCACCGAAGTTACCGTCGTGTCGGAAGTGGAAACAGAAAAACTTCGTGTAAAAGAAGTGTCTTTGGTTGAAGAGAATACTGTTGAACCGAACAACAATAGATTGACGACAGATCCTTATATAATCGAAAAAATCACTAGCGATGGACTTCTTGAAAAACCAGTGGGTTCAATTTCACCCTGTCTAAATCGAAGGTCATCAGTGATAATCTAAGTGAGATTTCCTCTGTATAGGAAACAAAATTGAATTGAATTCCCAATAATCACCGTCGACTCATAAGAAGTGTTCTATACACCGCAATTTTTATGTCTACTTTGTATTTTTTGCAGTTTCATTGTCTGATAAAGTTTAAAGCCTTGTGGGAACATCGTGAAACGAAAGTCTTGAATGACGCAGTTACGTGACTTACCACGCTTTAGTAGCTCTTTTTCGAGTCAAAAACCTGGAATACTTGTAAATAAAACATCGCTTTAACTTTAAGTAAGACTCGGTTTGAGAAAGGAAAAAATTTTATGTAACCCTTCAGCTTAGCTTGAAGTTCTTCTCACTTGAAGTACCAAATTCTTCATGTTCATGAAGAGATCGAAGTCCGTTCCAGCATTGCTCTTCAGCGTTAACTACAACTAAAGCTTTAACATCTACGAGACGATGCGACTTTCATGGGAGTTATACAATGGCCAGAATATTGATCGCTCTCAACATTACTTACTTACTCCGATACTTGAATGGGCTCGGCTTCACAAATTAAGCTCACCCTAGCACATTTTCCATTCGTCTCTTTGCTTCGCAATCGTCGTCCTCAGTGGTGGTTTGATTTATGAGCCATGGTGGCGAGTCTCATTTTGTTAACAGTAAAGCAACTGCGAGTACAGGTGATTAATTTTGTTCACAAACACATCCATCCTGCGTATAGGTGGTCGTTATAGAGGACTCCCGCATCGTCGTGGAATCCACCATACACTTCTTATCGCCTATCTGTAGACTGTTTCTTATTATATGACTGGGCCATCTAGTTCTCGCTATCATTGGATATATTCCTGGGTCCAAAACATGAGATAGGTCTCGAAGACCAGAGCATCACATTCTGGTTAGACAATATGTGCGTTGCTTAGATTTCAGAAGACAATCCCCAAGCGCCCTGTAAGAGGTCGATATTTTCGTGGTGCAGTTCCGGAAACAGAGCATAAATGAAATGCAGAAAAGAAAATTCGATGACAAATAAAGACATTCGAAAAGTAGTATGGTAGCGTTTGTAGGTGTTTTGTGGTTGAGCCGCATCAATCTTAATGCGCACGGCAAGAGGAGGAAGATGCAAATCCATCTCATCATTCGTCAGCCACACAATATTGTACATCGCCATGAAGGTGTCAAAAGGGAAGCTGAAGAGAGCACATCTAACAATCACACTGTTTGAAAAGGCAATCCAATTTATTATGACATCCATAATTCGGGTTCCATACACATGAGAACGCTTTTAATATCCTCCCTTCAATTTACTGAATGGAACAATTCGATGTGTATGTGGTATGGGCCAGGTTATAGAGCTTTTGAATTCAAAATCTGTTAGACTTTCCATTAGTGATAAAGGTGGAGAATTTGTAATTCTTCCCAGTCAGTTGGATATTAGGATAACAGAGGAACACCTTAGTGATGTTTCTCTCTATCGAACATCCCTGAAAAGGAATACAGAAATCAATACCGAAAACTGAATCAGGAATGGGTCAGCAATGCAAAGGCCGCGTGTTTAGAGCCTTCAGTTATTTCTGGGCTTAAAAACAAACACCCGATTTGTCCTGTCTTCTACTTGCTTATTAAAACACATAAGCTTACTTCAACTGATGATATTACATCAACGAACCCATCATCATATAAAGTTATACCTATCATCAGTTGTATAGGCGGGCCAACAGATAGAATAACGTGGTTGCTAAACCTTATCCTAACCCAGCTGCTAAAATTCATTCCAACCCATCTACCTAACACTAAAATATTTCTGGATCACCTAAGGCGCGTGCAACCAAACAGCACGCATATAATGGAGTCATTCGATGTTAGTTCACTTTATACCAACGTGTCCAATGACTACGCAAAGCAAGCCATTCTCGCGTTGCTCGTAGAGCATGAAAAGAAAATAAAAATGCACGGCTTGTCGATTGCGCAACTAATGACTCTCTTAAAACAGTGTCTTACTTGTTCGATCTTAAGGTGGTCTGGAAAATATTTTGCACAAATTAGAGGGTTGGCGATGGGGCAGCGTTTAGCACCAAGCCTTGCCATCGCTTCCATGTCTAAGGTGGAAGCCCCAGTTCTCGATCACCGACCCATACTCCACTGTCGATACCTAGACGACTGCTTCATCGTCTGTTCCACACAAGAACAAATGGACGAGTGCTTTGAATTATTAAACCGACAGTCAGAGTATATAAAATTTACACGAGAAAAACTTACCGAGAAGTGGCTTCCATTCTTAAACATCCAAATAAAGCTAACATCGAATGACTCCATTATATGAGCGCTGTTTGGTTGCGCGCGCCTTAGGTGATCTAGAAATATTTTGGTATTAGGTAGATGGGTTAGAATGAACAGCTAAGTAGTAAAAACATTCTAGTTCACTGCCTCTCCTCTCATCCTTCACCCATGAAAAAAGCACTTATCAAGAACATGTATCGTACGGCTAAAAATGTGTGTACAGGAGAAGAGGAAAGGAAGGAATCGCAAAACCTGGCACGAAAAATTGTCATTTCCAATGGCTACGAAGTAGAAGCCACTCGGGTTAGAGGAAAACGTTGGGTAGTTTGCCAAAATAATATTTCAGACGAAAGTAAGATCTCCTTTAAGCTGCCCTTCATATCAAATGAAGTAAGTCACGCCATTAAAAAGTGCTTAAGAAAAGTGGTCTTGAAAATTATGTAACGATTATTGACATCCCACCCAATACCCTACGCCGTCAGTTAGTTCGAAACCGTCTCTATGATCGTTTGTGCAGCTCAGAAAACTGTATGATCTGTCCTAACGGGAGAGACGGGGATTGCATGAGTTTAGGTATAATATACTTGATCTCATGTAATGCATGCGGCGAGGAATATATCGGGGAAACGGGTAGACCACTTTGTGTTCGCATAAAAGAACATCTAGATGGAAAATCTAAGATCCGTCTAAACACTCCTCTAGGTACGCATACGGCACAAAAGCACAATGGCGATGATTTTGAAGTGAATGTGTGGATCCTAGCGCAAGAATCGAGAACATCAACGCGCAAAACTCTTGAGGCGTTTTGGATAAATTTCAAAAATCCAAAGATGAACCGGAAGGACGAATGCCTCACTATCACGCGTGATCTGGCGCCTTATTTCAAAATGATATTTTGACCCCTGGGTGTGCCTCGCTCGCGACTCCACGAAAACAACGTGTGGGCCAGTCCCGCACGTAACATCACGGTGAGTGGCCTTTCTGTTCAATATGGCGTCTATTTGAAAGTTTGATCTTCATTAACACTTTAACCTTTTTTTCCACCGAATAATAAAATTATTCTAATATTAAATACGTCGAGGCTCTGAGGAAGGCGATGTCGCCGAAACGTCAGCTATCGATCAATAACATCAAAAACAACGACAACGGCAACGAAGACCTGTACCAACCTCGCGTCAGCTTAAGAAGATAAGTTTATAAGATCACATAAATAAATAAAACAATTTGATATTTAGTGCATTGTTGTGAATGCATGGCGAAAGCACACGTTGTATTTCAAAGATTTTCCCAAAGCTATACCTCATTAGCATGGAAAAATCGGAAGACATGGTGCTGCGAATTCATGACTTCCACTGGACTTGAGAAAAAATGAGCTTGGAAGCCTCTTGCCTAACGACCTCTGGGCCTGCTCCTTTACTTTCCGGAGGATCACGTGTTACGCACTGCTCCACTGTCGTCCATGCTCAGCTTATCTCTCAGCCAATTTTTTTTTACCTAACTTTACCGTCAAAAATCACCCGTCAGCGGTCTTCGTCGTTGTGTCTGTGGGTCGTATGAGCGCCTAGTAGAGTATTTCCATTAACATTAAATCTACCGATTGTGTCCTATACGATCACGCAGTAGCTTACCTGTTTCTCCAATATATTCGTCCACGCTCGCTTAATAAGAGGTCGGATAAAACGTACTTGAACTCTTGCAATCACGGTCAAATGATGAAACTTATACTGTACGCAGACGGTCACCTAGACGCTTGAAAACTAGTTGGTGTCTTAAAGTGCTCGGTTGTGTTCAAACCATTGTTGGCGATTTCTCCAGACCGGCCCTTCTCAAGCAACCGTTTATAGCCGGATTTATTTTGTTGGAAGTTAAAGCATGGTAAACGGAACCTTATTCTCGCTAGACCATTCTGGAGAAAATACATTTTTTCAGCCACTGGAAATGACTATTTATGGCGTTAATTTCAGGGATTCATCCTTCTGCCGTAATGTGAGACGGAGTGTGCTTTAACAACTGGGTAAGTGTTAGGGTTAAATACTAGCTAAATATGAATCCTATCAGCTCCTTTGTTAAGGATTAGTCAGTGCAAAATGTGCCTACTCTTTCCTTTAACTTATCAATTTCTAAGCATCATTTGCCATTGAATATAGAGGCAGCATCTACGAGCAGACCATAGTGGCAAATTAATAAGACGTTTTATAGATGTTTATTTGACAGCGAATCTATATTAACAGGAACTGCTCAGTGGTCGCTGGACGAAATGAGAAATTAGATAGCCATTAGAATAATCGAATGTCACTGGATTTGAACCGCGGTTCATAATTCTCACGATAGATTCGTACGTTGCTTTTGCGTCTGAAAATGTTAGTTTGGCAGGGAACTGACAGTGTCCGTGGACAACACTTGGTCTGTGGTTGGTTTGTATGTTTTGTAACGTTGGCTAGCAGAGAGCTCCAGGATAATACGTAGGTATTCTTCTTATAATTTCGCTAGGTAGACTGATATTGACCGACAGCTGCTTAGGAGTACTACGCGTGCCTTTATGTGTTGCGAGTATTCACAGTGTCCATCCCAAACATGGTTAATTAAGCATTTGTGAATTTGACAGCACAAAAAAATCTATTAGGAAATAAAGAATATTTCCTATTTTGTAGAGAATATTCACGATAGAACTTGGTCCGGCGTGAATCGTACGACAACGCAAGTCACCATTACCACGAAGGGTAAGTATTGCTGTTTTCATGTAC